TAAATTGGAATAAACTCATTAATTTCTGTCTTCCTTTCTTTCTTTCTAAATGACACATAAATCTGAAAATATAAAAATGTTCATAATATTGATTAAGATTGCAATATAAAATAGTAAAAGTTTTGAAGGTGAGTAAGAATCAAAGAACAAAGAAGACTGTGAACTTGCTGACATACCTTGAGATACTGTTTTAATTATGAAAGCATTAAAAAAATTAAGTAGGAGGCAGTGATAAACTAAATACGTTTTGTCGTTTAAAGCGGGTCTTCATCTATGCATAATAAAATCGTGAACAGTTATTTTGCTTGTTTGTCTATTTGTTTGTGAATACTAATAATCTCCTTAAGGTTGCCCTAGTCGATGGCACGAACTAAGTGGTGCGTGGGGTAAAAATGCATGCTATCTCAGCCGACATCACGTGCGAAAGGGATAGACGCTGTGATGAGCAGTAAGAAGCTAGTGCGCACACACATACGCACTTGAGTGACGCAGCGACGCGTCACGCGTAACCTATGCGATTCGTTTTTGAATAATAACATAAACTCAAACGGCAATTTGAGCTCCATATCGCAGTGGCTTAGCAATGAGGCTGCGCTGGGCGCCGCGGGTTCGAATCCCGCACGGAACAAATATTTGTATGGCCTACAAATAGTTGTTCCGGGTCTGGATGTTTGTCCTTGTGCAATTTATGTTTGTAAACTGCCCACACGATACTGGGGAAAATCCTACTGTGGGGGTAACGTATTTTAAAAAGAGAAAGGAGAGAGAAAACAAATTGGTGTTGTTATAACTTAGGATCTGCTGTGTGAAACGTAATTATTATGAACCCAATTTATGTACTTAATTGTTATTATGAAAGTTCTTATGTGAACTTAAGTAGATGTTGTTATTATATAATAATTCCATTGATTTGTTTTTACCTACTTTTTAACCGACTTCGAAAAAAGGAGGTGGAGGTGGTGGTTCGAGAAAAGATATATTTTCCAGATAATCCCACGGTAATCGATGATGGGCAGATCAGGATCTGATGATGGGATCTTGGAGAAATCGGGGGCACTCTTAAATAAATGACAGCAAATCAAAAAGCGATTGCTGCTATCGCCTATCTAAGCATTCATTACACAATCACACAATATAATATCACGCCTGTACCCACTAAAGGGACATAACTCTCAACTAAAAACGGTAACATAAAAAACTTTTTTTTGAAAAAAAATATAACAATTTCTAAAACAAACACAAAAAAGTGTAACATAATTATGTTTTCTTTATGTTTTTGCATTTTACTGTAGGTTATGCATATATTACTGTAGGTACTATGTATTCTAAATAGGTATTTGCTTTCCATAGCTAGTTAGCTATAATAACCTACAGGCAACTCCCCGAAGTATATGTGAGCCAGTGTCAGGATTGGTAACTGCTTTTTCGACAGCGCGATTTTGATGTGAGTGGGGCTTTTATATAGGTTAATTAAATAAATAAAAAATGTTAGTTTTTAAATTGTTTATTGATTGTTTGTGTTCAATAGCGGTTTGAAATATTCTCTTAGTACTTAGAAAGTTATCAACAATAGGCATTGTGTCACTGCAGGGACAAGCACAAACGTCTATCAAAATAGTAACGTATATAAACGGAATACTAACAGCACAGACTTCCTTACAGAAGTCCAAAGAACACATCTAGGCAAGGTAAGTAATTAGAAGAAAACTACAATTTACAGATCGATTGTAAATCAAATTCACAGTACAGACACAATTAGCGAAATATGAATAAAATTTTGATTTATTTTATAATAGATAACGCTAGTTGAAAACTAAACACTGTATGGGAATGGCATCACTGAACGAGTCAGGTGGTCAGTCCAAACAAATAAAAGGTGCGATTGTAGAAAGAGATTCGTTACGAAACGTTTGTAGGCTAGGGGGCTTGGCCTGTTTATGCTATTCATAACGAAGGCTATAAAATATGTACAACTTAGAAACTAAATCCTATGTGTACTTATATGTATTCATAACCCAATATCTAAGGTAGGTTGATGCGCTCCTTAGTTTTTATATAGTTCGTATTATTCTGTAATAAATTAAATCTAATCCAAAATATACTATAATACCATAGCAAAGCTACTACTATTTTATTTAGTAGTAGCTTATATAGTAGTATAGTAAATTATATATAAAAAATATGAGTATGTCTGAGGTAAGGTTAAAAATAAACAAATATTTTGCCAAATGCGAATCGGACTTCCGAGCTTCTGAGATTACAAGATTTAAATACCTATACATATTCCTATCGATCAAAAAAGCCAAATATACACGTTTCTTTTTCTAGTAGAAAATCCTTTAATTTCAAATTTATTTTTACCACTTGCTGTTATAGCGGCAACAGAAATACACGTTCTGTGAAAATTACAACCATCTTACTATTGCGGATCATGAGATGCAGCCCGCTGACATACAGACACACGGACAGCGGAGACTCCGTAATAGGGCCCTTTTTTATAGAAGAGGGGGCAAACGAGCATGCGGCTCACCTGATGTTAAGTGACTACCGCCGCCCATGATCAACCGCAACACCAAGGGTGCGTTGCCGGCCCTTTAGAAAGGAGTAAGCTCTTTTCTTGAAGGTCCCCAGGTCGTATCGGTACGTTTTCGGTCCGACGTTTGCCGCGTAGTGCGTTCACGAAATTTGGCGGCTGGGATTAATCCGAACAATTCCTCAGAGCACTCTCCATGGTATATGCGAAATAAAATGCAAAGAGATGCAACATCTCTTCGCAGTGCCAGTGAATCGAGCCGATCGGAAAGCACTCGGTCGTCGACGATTCGAGCAGCTCTGCGCTGGATGCGGTCAAGTGGAAGGAGCTGGTTCTGGGGAGCCCCAGCCCAGAGATGGGAACAGTATTCCATGTGCGGCCGAACCTGCGCCTTGTAAAGTTGCAGGCGGTGTGTCGGCATGAAATACAGTCCCGCTCTGCTGAGCACGCCAAGCTTTTTTGAGGCCAATTTGGCCTTCTCTTCCAAGTTATCACGAAACTGCACGTCACTCGATATGTTGACGCCGAGGATTCCGATACCGGCTAAGGCAACAAGGGGAGTGCCTTGAAACCGAGGAGTGGCACCTCACTCCGGACAAGACAATGGTCCGAGGAGCCTAAAGGGGCTTCGACGGAAATCTGATATCCGTCAGGGTGAGAGGTCAGCAGAAGGTCCAACAGGGAAGGTGCATGATCCCCCACATCTGGAATCCGCGTAGGCAAAGTAACCAGTTGTGTCAGACCATATGCCAAGGCAAAGTCCTGAACAGATCTCCCCGCATGATCGGTTAAACGTGAACCAAGCCATTCGGCCTGATGGGCGTTAAAGTCGCCGAGGATCACGATCTCTGCGGAGGGGATCTGCTGTAGCAACGAATCTGTAGCCATTTGGACGTGGTCGAAGAGTCGGTCTGTTTCGGCATTACCGCTATGGGACCTATAGAGGCACCCGTAGACGCGCGGATGGTCGTCGCGGTCTACGCGTAGCCACAGGATGGACAGGTCCGAACCTTCAAGTCTGCCGAGGCGTCGAGAACAGATGTCCTCTCTGACGTAAACGCAAACTCCAGCCCGAGGCACAAAGGAGTGTTCCAGTTTATACCCCGGATAGGAGAGATACGAGACATCAGCCGGAGAGGACACCTGCGTCTCGGTCAAAAAGAGCAGAGCCGGCCTCGCTGTCTCGAGATAGTAGTGGACGGCGTTTAGGTTAGAGTGAAGTCCCCTGATATTGCAGAAATTCACGGACAGCGTGGCAGGGGTCGCCTTGGTCTTGTTGCTCCGTTTGCCCCGAGCAGTTGTAGTCTTGAGCGGAATTTTGCCCCCCCCCCCCCAGAATACGCAGGGCAGCCTGAGCACCCACGCTCAGAAGTGGAGAAACATGGTCGTGGATGCTCAGCGAGGGATTCTCCAAGGGTGCTGGTACCCTCCTGGGGTAGTCTATCATTATTTAATTCCGCTACCATGTTGATGGGGGGGGGGGATTTGGGCCTCCGGCCACCTGCACTCACCAGACGAAACGCGGAAGCAGAGCTTCCACTTCACGCCGGTATTCTGTGAGGTCGTGGTACCACCCCGGTTTGAGCCGGCCCATACGTGCAACAGCAAAGCTGCCGCGTGGCTCTACCACTGTTAAGCTGCACTTTTAATCAAAATATGACGCGTCTGTCACTGCTTCCTTGATCATAAAATGAAATATCATACCAAATCATTTTATTCCTATCGTTTCAATGAACATTTAATGCCTCATTATGTACTGACAATAAAAATGAGTTATATAGTTCATTGTTATTTGTTTAATTTTAGTAATAATAGCACCAATGATTTCTTTATGTAAAATACATTCATAGCAATAAATTGCGTACAAATATACGCAAAATATTATACTTGGTCCAAAGCAATACTTATAAACTATTTGAACTATAACAACTTTTCTGTTATATTATATATATTGTGATTTAATGCAGTTATTGTTTTTAATTTCTAATGATGAAATTATAGTCTTACGAAGGTATATTAATTGAAAATAAAAAATTTACGGATGGACGAATATGGCGCAACTATAAGGGATCGTTTTTTAACTACGGAACCCTAAAGACGACCTTAAAATTCTAGGTTTGTGGTAATAACCTCAGGATATACATATGCTTGTTCTTACTCGTAATGTTAAATGAAACACTTTTAACGAGACGTCAAAAATATACTTTATAAAATGTATATGTTATGTATATTTCAATAATATAATCTAATTTAACATAAATGGTAAAATTTACATACTTTTGAAACACTACTATAAGTAGTAAATACGAATTAATTGGTTTATTAAGATAATAATGACGATGTCAACAATCAAGTTCAGTTAATCACATTCGTTTTTTAAATCTTTCTCTTTCTTTTTTAACGAATCGTTATTAACGAAGATGAATAATCAATAGCGGATGTATTTGCGGATGTACCGTTGATCGTATTAGTTGTTAGCTGTCACTCCCATTGGCTTAACTTTCAGCTTCTTAGCGAGAGCCGCGCTGCTTTCAATCTGTTGCTTCACGTACGTAACTGTACCTTCAGAATTAGTAATTTGGGCGCATCTTTTTTCCTTATCTCCTGGCGCCAATACTGGCAAGTCTGGATCGGTCTGAAAATATAGTTGATTTGTGTTATTTTAACAAAATGATATTTAAAATTAATTTTATTTTTCAATTACAGAGATTCCTAGTATCGTCCGACGAAACTACAACAAGTCCAATGGTGAAAGAAGCTATTTAAAAAAATGAGTACACTTGAGAACCTTTCTTCCCCATCGGTTATCAGTTCTTTGAGCTAGCCCATTGCTACTTCAGCTTACTAATCTGTTTGGCTATGTCGGTTACTCTCGTTCTACTGCGGATGTCCTCTTTCCTAAGTTTATCACGCAGAGAAACTCCGAACATAGCCCTCTCTATAGCTCGCTGAGCGACTTTGAGCTTCCTCATACGGCCAGCGGTGAAGAACCACGTCTTAGATCCATAGGTCATCACTAGCTACATACACTGGTTGTACAATCTAGTTTTGAGGTATACCTGATGAGTAGAAATGTCGTAATCTCAAAGGCTTTAGCACCATAAACCACATACATACACTTCGGCAATTGTACAGAAGTCTGAAGAGTGCAATCAGCCACTTTGTCTTGTGTATGAGGACTATAAGAAAGCCTTTGATTCCGTCGAAATTTGGGCGAGGCTGTCAGTCAGCTTGGCACCAAAGATATGCCGACAGTTATACGACAGGCAACTTGGTACCTTCAGCGGTGCCAAGTTGACTGTCGGTATATCGAAGTGCTGAATTGTTTGTACAGTAGGGCTACGATGGCTATCCGAATACAGAACCAGAGTATGAAACCTATCTAACTGTAGAGAGGTGTCTAAGACATTGTAACGTTGTATCCCCGAAATTATTCACCGCTGCATTGGTAGACGTTTTCAAGCTACTGGAATGGAAAGGATACGGTATTAACATCAATGTCGAGTACATCACTCACCTTCGATTTGCCGACGAATTAGTCCTTATGGCAGAATCGCTGGATGACCTAAGCACTATGCTCAACGACCTGTTTTTTATAACATAGGGATACAAACGAGTCCACCTGATGGTGAGTGGTTGCTGTGGCCCGTAGACATCTACATCTACATCCTCGATTATGAATCGAAATGCAGATGCGTTTTTATCCCTGAGGACTAAGACGGAATGCCTCGTTTCCAGTAAAAAGGGTCTTCGGTTCTCTACACTCACCTTACGAAACAGAGCAGCGTTAAGCTACTTTATTACGCTGGTATTCTGTGAGAGCGTGGTCCTTTCCCGATCGAGGCGACCTGTTCGTGCTACAACTATACTACTAATATAGCTGCAGCATGACTCTACCCCGTATAAAGTATCTCTCAACCTAGTGTCTCCCAGCGGATAGTTTTTAAGACGAACATGAACAAAACATAAGTTTGTACTCGTAATATCCACGTCACATCTATGTCGTTGGTTGTTGGGAACACTAAGCTCAAAGTTGTTGACGAGTATGTTTACTTGGGACAAATAGTCCGACTTGGTATATCCAACTTCGATCGAGATGTCAATCGACGGATGCAACTCGGCTGTTGGGAGATAACGAATCCGATACGACTAGAGAGACCAGACACAGGACTAACGGCTTGACGTACTTCCCTAGTGCACGGGGGCTATTCACCGCCAACTTTCTGACTCTGGGCTGTGGCTGAGAACTTTTAGATAAAAGCACTAATAAGCTAATAACTGATATTTTCGCCTGACTCGAGACCACATTATTAGCAGTCGCACTTACTTTCACTATAAAACTGACAAACCACATTTGTTCAATATATAATAATAATAATGACTTCCTCGTGCAATGCTATACATTCCCCCAGGAATGAATAATTTACTCTTTAGAGCAAGTTACAACTAAATCCAGCAAATTTCACCAACAAGAATATTTACCGGTTCCAGTTGCCTCCAATGTCTCATACTGTCTGTTAAACGTGATCCGAAGCCGGGAGCGAAACATTCCGGATCTATCGCGACGAAGCAGTGACCCAGGTTAGCAGGACCGCCGTCACTGCTGTGTGACCACGATCGTATGTGGTGACCGTAATTTGACCCTTAAAATTAGCAAAATTAAATTATTTCCATTGAATGTCTTTAGAAGTTTGTGATGGGTAGATGTAGGGAGCACTATGATTGAAGTTGTTGACAAGTTTTACCTAGGACTTTGTTGAATTGTCCGACTAGGTAACTCCAACTTCGATGGATTCAACTCGGCTTGGCGTGAGATGCAAAATCTTGTAGGAAGTCAATGGTTGCAGGTGGCTCAGGGACCTATGTTGAGCAATGGACGTGTGAAAGGCTATAATGATGATAATGAGTATAATGATGATGATGAAATGTCTTTTCATCCGATTACAATGTATACATTTAATATTGTTATTTCAAATTAAATCAAATACATACATTGCTCCTATGATAAGTATAGGTATAGGATATCATCCTGTGAGTGGGTGTCGTAAGAGATGACGGAGAGAAACAAATCAGGAGATAGGGAGCAGCGTCTCCCTAATATTAACTAAAAATAAAAAAAACTGCAGTTGCCAACCCGTTTGCCAAGCGTGGCATCTATGGCAAATATCTTCCTCCGAAGAAATCTAAGGGGGGGGGGCGGTCCGATACGACTAAGAGACCTTCTCTACCTTTCTATCTTCTACCTTCCTATCTTAGGGACCGAGCATTTTTCTGATATATATAACTCTAAATAATATAAACTAATGTTGACAACCCGCCTGCTAAACGTGGCAACTATGGTAAAATCCATCTATGTGGCAATCTATGGGCAGGTCTATGTTCAGCTGTGGACTTCTATAGACTGTAAAGTGTGGATGGATAGATCGTAAAAACTAATGGACCTTAAAGCAAAGAACCTAGTCCATTTTAAAAGGCGGCACGCACTTGTGGTTCCCTTGATGTTGAAGTTGATCGTGAGCTGTGGTAGTCACTTATAATGTTCATCAGTGGACCTTAATAGGCTGTAAGGGTAACAGTAATAGTATAGGATAACATATACTTTTTTTTTATAGAATAAGGGTGACATACGAGCCCACAGTCCACCTGACGGTAAGTGAATGCTGTGGCCCATACAATCTAGATTTATTTTCAATTAAGAATTTAAATGCAGATGCGTTGCCAGCCCTGAGGACTGAAATGGAATGCCTCGTTTCCAGTAAAAAGGGTCTCCGGTTCTCTACACTCACCATACGAAACACGGCAGCATTGAGCTGCTATTTGACGCTGGTGTTCTGTGAGGGCGTGGTCCTACCCCGGTCGAGCCGACCCATTCGTGCTGTAACCACAATATATAAACTCTCACATCTGTCACCCAGTGAGTTAAATGGAGATTACGGACTTCTGTTTGTCATGATCTTGACACTCCCCTCTCGTATCTTATCAGATCTATCATATCTACTATCGTATAGTAAGTGTAGACCCTTTTTTACTGGAAACGAGGCATTCAATTCCATCTTAGTCCTCAGAGAAGACAATGCACCTGCATTTTGATTCTTAATTGAAGATAAATGTAGATGTCTATAGGCCACAGTATTCACTTACCATCACGTGGACAGTGTGCCAGTTTGTCACCTTTTTTTCTATAAAAAAATATATTTCAAATAAATTTGTCAATACGATATGCGCGCCACCTACAGTAAATTAACTGTATTATGCCTGCAGCATTCGCGCAAATGCAAGCAATAAGTTGACAAAGTTTTACCGCAATCTGATGAACGGTATGGTAGCGCATAAAATATGAACAAACAAACATTAATTTTTATATATTAAAAGAATTATATATTAGGTATAAGTCTAATATCAATTAAAAGAAGGTTGATATTACGGTGGCTGAAGCTTGACAAAGTTATGCATGCCAGTTGACGCGGTCGACTTCACAAGACCTGGTTATATCCTGCAGTGGATTAAAATAGATTAATGAAGAAGAAAGAAATATTAGTTAGAAGAAGTTATCATAGTAGGTTATTTCTGATGTAAAATTATCACCCACCTGAAGAGATACCACAAAATAATTCCACCATAGCCGCTAATCCATAGCCTTTGTATCCTGATGTACTCTCGCCACCGCCCAACGGCAAAAGGCATTGCGTTTTAAATGCCTGAAATAAAAATTGCACAAATAATAAATAACATCATATGAAGTATGCGAATATCGTAACTAGCCTACTGCGGCCATAGACACATCCCAAGACTCGAAACCGATCACCGGCTTCACGCATTCATTTGTTACAAGTCGCTTTCGTCATTACGCGAATATCATCATCGCCACTAGCATATAGGATTTCCTCAAGACGTGACACTTAGTCCAATCATAGGTGTCCCGCCTCCCGTTTCTCCTTGAAAATCTCGCATAGATCGTCATTGTCAGCCAGCCACGCTGTCAATAAGCGGAATGGAAGTAAATTTATCTCTTTCTTTTCAGCATCAGTCCATAAATTCTACTACTGGACATGGGATACTGGGATAATATGTCATATTCATCAAGCTTTGCAAGCAGATTCGAAGCTTGCAAGATAAGCGATCGTCTAATGAGATCGTTTAGTAGCGGTGTAAGAAAGTCCACTACTCCATATCATCTCGTGGGTCGCCGCGACAGAGGGAAACTAACCAGGAGATAAGGAATAATAAGGAGATGGACAGCAGCGTCTTCCTTAGCGGTTCCGGCAGTAAAAATAAAAAAAACTGCGGTTTCTAATCCCCTTGCCAAGCATGGCAACTGTGGCAAATATCCCGCCCCTATGAGCCGTGGCAGCTCAGATGGTTAGCGCTCGCTGTAAATACAACAGAAGGCGAGCAACCCGGGTTCGATCCCCACCGGCATCAATGAAATTATTAATTACCATTTTAAGTGCTGATGTACCACGTGTCCAGCGGTGAAGGAAAACATCGTGAGGAAACCTGCATGTCTGAGGAATAAGAAAAAAATATGTGAAGACATGTGAAGTACGCCAACACGCATTGGGGCAGGGCGGCGGACGCTTCCTTGCCCTAAAACCCTCTCAGAAATGAGGGGAGGCCTGTGCCCAGCAGTGGGACGTATATAGGCTGTAACTTTATTTTTCTTTTATGAGGCAATCTAAATTCAGCAGCGGGCTTTAAAAGGCTGTAACGGTAAGATTAGCGATCGCAGTGCCATAGCTCGCACGTTTGACTGTGCTCTATGTCGCTGGTGGTTTATGTCTGTAATGTAATGTAAAATTGATGGTTATACCGCTATCTACGGCAATTTCAATACCAGAACGAAATGCTACTACATTGCTACTATTTCTGTACTAACCAATTCCGCGTCAGTTGTCTCCTTGCCGTCAGGTCCCTGAGCCCACCCGTTTGGTATCGGCTCACCTTTACGTAGCTGCATCTCTATCTGAGAACAATCAGTTACTAAATCAATAGGCCTCATCTAACAAAAAAAAAAACCGTGGCATAGCGGTTAAGGGGTGCGAAATGCAAAGTTGGATATTTGTGGGTGTGAATACGTTTAATTTGCGTGTTGAGTGATATTAGTTTTATTTTGTTTTCAATTTTTTAATTATACGCCTTCATAGTATCTATGAACTTCTGTGGTATCGTGGATTTATCGCTGACATTAAATGTGTCTGTGAATCAAATCCGCAGCCGTGTCAGCGCAAAACTTCTGTGCAAAAGCGGGTTGATAGCGCAGTGACTTTAGCGGGGCCGCGGGTTCGATCCCTGCATGGAACAAATACTTGTGTGGTCTATAAATAATAGTTAAACTAGCTAACGTACCTAACCTTTTTAAAATAAAAAGCAGTCTAAAATAAATGCTGTAATTAAATTAGAAATTATCCAAATTTAACGAAGTTGAAATAATTAAACTGAAACTATTTTGGCTAATATGTTTCCTGATAAGCTTACCTTTCCCACCGCCACAGATGTAGTCGCCATATCCAAATAGAAAGTTTCACCATCGGATGCCGGGGCAACCACCGATAGGGGATTCGTCCCTAACGCCGACTGGAAAACCAATCATATCATATTGTAGTTTAGAGTTTAAAGAGAATAGTAGTATTTAGTAGGTATTATTTTTTTTAGCCTTTACAAGGCGCGGGTTCGGCCGCACATGGAATACTGTTCTCATCTCTAGGCTGGGGCTCCCCAGTGCCAGCTTCTTCCACTTGACTGCATCCAGCGCAGAGCTGCTCGAATCGTCGACGACCGAGTGCTTGCCGATCGGCTCGATTCACTGGCGCTGCGAAGAGATGTTGCATCTCTTTGCATTTTCTTTGGTGCTCTGAGAAATTGTTCGGATTAATCCCAGCCGCCAAATTTCGTGAATGCACTACGCGGCAAACGTCCCAATACCATCCACACCATCTGGATGCTTGGCGATCCACCACTGTACGTTTCAGAACGCGTTTTCTTCCGCGTACGACCTCTTTGTGGAACAGTTTAACACCAGCGATTTTTCCGGACCGATACGATATAGGGACCTTCAAGAAAAGAAGAAAGAAGAAAGAAAGAAAGAAAAACTTTATTTGAAATCACAAAGAGAAACAAACAACTCGAAATATTACAATAAAAAATAAAATGGATTTTTGTGAAATCAAATTAGGTCCCTATTTCAGCTAACTGCTGCTGTACTAAATGACAGCGCTGATTTTCAAATAGAGCCTAATATTCACTTCACGGACGGTCATACATTACTTATTACTAAGCTAAAAAGAAAAAAAAAAAAAAAAAAGAAACAACCATTCTGAGAAGTGAGTGGGGAAGGAATCAGTATAAAAGAGGTATTATTTGGAACTAATAACACAATGTATAAGTGAACTGTACACTTGCATATCACATACATATCTACACATCAATACATACGTGTATACATCATACACATTTAAATGTACGTACATATACATTATAAAGCGCTCAACAGCTCAACATCATATAGTACATTATCTAATCTTAATAAACTAAAAAACTGAATTTAATTGTAAAGACTTTACGATTTAACAACCATAAACATAAAGAAACGAAATAGTGAGTAAACTGAAAAATTAGTGAGGGACTTAAAAAAAGCAGTTAATCTTATCCAGCAATTTTTCCAGCGTTGATTAGAGGACCCGTTTATACCCGCATATTGTGCACGTAAAACAAAAAAAAAAAATAAAGTGAAAAATATAATTAATTTTGAAATTACGAGGGATTATGGTCTTGTTTTAAAATTGCTGATAGTTTTTTTTAAATATTCCTATAGTTTTTAAAGCACGCATTGGTGGAGGTAGATCGTTCCAGCAGCGAGAAGCTGCATACCTGAAGGACCCTCTAAATGCCATTGTTCTATCTTTTGGAATAACAAAGACGTTAGAACATTTACGTTTCGGATATTTTGACTGTTCCCTAACCCACACTAATTTGTCATATAAGTAACGAGGTGTTTTTGAAGAAATTATTCCAAATAATAAGGTAGCAAGGTGTAACCTTCGACGCGACGACATTTTTAATAGGCCTGCATTATTAAGAAAAGGAGTAACATGCGTACGTGCGTACGTACACATACCACATGTGAAAGCAGAACCTCGCACATGCATTTTGTACACGCTGTATGAGTCTCTGAGTCCTACTTAATAGACATGGTCCAAACACTACGTCACAGTAATTTAATTTGGACAAAATCAAAGACTCGCATAGTCTTATCCTTGTTTTCTCTGTTAGAAATAGCCTGATTTTATATAAGATTTTTAATCTATAAAAACAGTTTCGTACACTTTCTGTGACATGTGCTTCGAAACGCAGATGGTTATCAAGCTTTTGGCCAAGGTTTGTAGCCTCGATAATTTGATCAATTGGATTGTTTCTAATTTTTAAAACTAAGTAAAAAAGAGCTTACTCCTTTCTAAAGGGCCGGCAATGCACCTGCAATTCCCCTGGTGTTGCAGTTGATCATGGGCGGCGGTAGTCACTTAACACCAGGTGAGCTGCATGCTCGTTTACCCCCCTCTTCTATAAAATATATCATTTTATATTATATATTATTACATTAAACATCTCTTGTATATTATATGCAAATACAATGGACCAAGTCAATGCTATGTTCAAAATTAACCTGTTTGCTCCTCGTTGGCGCTAGCAGAGGTGAAGTATTAGTAAATGCCATTCCAATTAAGCCTTTGTCAGCTGCCTTTTGTGCCCACCAGCCCGCCATGCCGTTGTGATTGGAACCTGGAACATTCGAACAATACTGTTTGAGCATCATCAAGAGAGTCTGAGAGAGGTATCCCACGGAATGACTAATAAAACGGTTTGCCACAGCTGCCACGCTAGGCACGCGGATTGGCAACCGCATTATTTTGCTAATTATTGGATTTAATAACTAGGAAAAAAATGCGGTTGCCAATTGATGAGAGTTATGAAGCCACGTGTTTCTAATAATAACTCGTTATTAAGAAGACGCTACTGCCCATCTCCTGGACTAGATTTTCCCTCTGACGCCTCTTATGACACCCACGGGTCGATATGGGACGTGATACGATACGATACGGTTATTTACTTTTAATAGGGTCAAATTTCATTTGTCTAGCAATATTATGTTTATTTCAATAGGAATAGCTGAGGTAACCTGAGAGTTTACTGGGCACTGGACTGGTTCTTAAGAGACAGTTAATGTCATTTGGTGTCTCTAGGCCATACTTTTTATAACATGTATCGTTTACAACATAAATATCTTCAATATAACTACACTGTTATGAATCTAAGCTTTTATTATATATTTTATCGTTTTCTTATATATTTTAAGTCGGGACATAAGTACTAATCAACAGATGCGATAGATAGCCGTCAATTGTCTGGCAAAATCAAATTTCATGTCCGTCGTCTCTCTATTCGTATTGTAGACTTCCAAATACTCGTACAAATTGTGGTGGGCACTCATTCTTATCAAATATGTTTCGTGTACAATAGAAAAATCAATGATATAAGTATATTTCATCATGTTTACTTAATTTGTATCATACTTTGTTAAATTTAAATTCAATATCTACAATAAACAATACGATGTGATACCTATAATACAAAGTAAATACAACAATAATATTACAAAAAAGATATTAATATTTAATTCGCAACCATCCGCTTAATTAAATACAATGATGTGTCTTACCTGGATTGAATTGATGAGCACCTCCCGCCCTCCCTCAATTGCATGCACTAATCCTGTCACCACTACTCCCGGCACCACTATATAATTTTGACACAACATCAATGATAATACAAATCTAAGTATACTGGGCGTACAAAATCGTAATACCGTGGTTCGAGCCCAGACGACCGAGATTAATTTTAGTTCCTTCTGGGATAATCTATTTTCGAGCTCTTTTTTTTAGTAACACGAAAATTAATTAAACTAATTGCACTCATGATTTTTTATTCAAATAACCAGTTGAGGCGCTACAATCAAAAAATATACGTATTTCATCAGTATGTAATTTGTATCTAAATATAATTTCAAAACACACCAATTAAAAAAAAACCGAGCGAATTAAATACCGACAAATCTCTAACCGTACTTATAATGAATTTCCGCAAAGTAACGCCTGATTCTATAAATTATCCTAACAATAATATTATTATTGTTGTATTTACTACGTTTTCAGCCCTGAGGGCTAAAATGGAATGCCTTGTTTCCAGTAAAAAGGGTCTTCAGTTGTCTACAGTCATCGCATGAAACACAGCAGGATTATTGGTTGCGGCTGTTATTTTACACTGGTAATCTGTGAGAGCGCGGTCCTATACTAACACGGTCAATTATTCGTGCTAAAACCATAATATTGCTGCAGCGTGGCACTACCACCATCATCATCATTATCATCATTACAGCCCTTCACAAGTCCACTGCTGAACATAGGCCTCCCCCAAGTAATGCCACAAAGCACGGTCCTGAGCCACCTGCATCCATCGACTTCCTGCATGTCTTACCAGGTCGTCACTCCATCTAGTGGGGGGTCGCCCTACACTACGCCTACCGGTACGAGGCTGCCACTCGAGAACCTTTCTTCCCCATCGGTTATCGGTTCTTCGAGCTATATGGCCGGCCCATTGCCACTTCAGCTTACTAATCCGTTGGGCTATGTCGGTCACTCTGGTTTTACTGCGGATATCCTCATTTCTGAGTCTATCACGCAGAGAAACTCCGAGCATAGCCCTCTCCATAGCTCGCTGAGCGACCTTAAGCGTCCTCATACGGCCAGCAGTGAAGGACCACGTCTCAGATCCGTAAGTCATAACTGGCAACACGCACTGGTTGTACAATCTAGTTTTTAGAGATTGAGGTATACCTGACGAAAAGATATGCCGTAATTTCCCGAACGCTGCCCAGCCGAGTTGAATCCGTCGATTGACCTCTCGGTCGAAGTTGGACTTACCTAGTCGGACTATTTGTCCCAGGTAAACGTATTCGTCAACAACTTCGAGCATAGTGCTCCCAACAACTACCGGCATAGGTGTGACATGGACATTGAACATGATCTTTGTTTTGTCCATGTTCATCTTAAGACCTATCCGTTGGGAGGCACTATTGAGGTCATTGAGCATAGTGCTTAAGTCCTCCAGCGATTCTGCCATAAGGACTATATCGTCGGCAAATCGAAGGTGAGTGATGTACTCGCCATTGATGTCAATACCGTATCCTTTCCAGTCTAGTAGCTTGAAAACGTCTTCCAATGCAGCGGTGAAGAGTTTCGGGGATATAACGTCACCCTGTCTTACACCTCTCTGCAGTTGGATAGGTTTCGAGCTCTGGTTCTGTACTCGGATAGCCATCGTAGCCCTACTGTACAAACACTTCAGCACTTCGATATACCGACAGTCAACTTGGCACCGCTGAAGGGACTGTAGCACCGCCCAAATTTCGACGGAATCAAAGGCTTTCTCATAGTCCACATACGCCAGGCAAAGTGGCAGATTGTACTCTTCAGTCTTCTGTACAATCTGCCGCAGGGTATGTATGTGGTCTATGGTACTGAAGCCTTTTCGGAAACCGGCTTGTTCGGGAGGCTGGAAGTCGTCAAGTCCTACCACGTAAAATTATATTATTGTACGTGGTAGAGCAGCAGTAAAGCAGCGTGCTTTGGTGTTCATAATCACGAGTGTTACGAGCTGTAAAGGCAATTATACGTATATTGCTTAATGCCTTTTTATTATTATGCAGGTCCATAATATTTATGGCCAGTTTTATGAACATAATACAAAAAAAAATTATAGGTAGGTTTATTTTTATTTATAATTCTCTCTCCCCGCTAGCTGCGCCTCTTCGCTGACCTAAACTATTTAATAATGCCACAGAATGCAGTAATACCTAAACCTACCACATGTGCTGTTCCACGACATTATCGGCTTTAGAATTCGTTCAGCCATTCAAGGGTACTTACTTAATATTAATTTTAGTAACATTACGTGTAGCAGTAAGGAGGTTAAGGGGAAATATAACCTCAAATGGCTTAGCAAGATCCTCCGTTATGCCGAAAGTATTGCAGCATTAATTTTGAAATAAATATATGGTAAAGTTGAGGATTAATGTTAAGGTTTATGTTAGACGAAAACACGATTCCGTAAAATTTTCTCGATAGAAAAAAAATCCAAAGTTACCTCCAAACTGAACAATAAACCGCTGTTATTCATAAAATACTTTAAATAAGATCATGAAACTTTGCATACTAACTGAACTAACTATAAAGCAGTGCTTATGTTATTTACTTTTTTTAAAATACCATTATTTTCACTGTAAAAAGAAATTACCTAAACTATCGGCGCGTAAGCTTGATTCCTGTCGCCCCGATAGTATCGCTCCGGCTTTTGAAGCGAGAAGTTGTGTCGCTTACGATCAGAATACACATTACGTAACAGGAAGACGTAAAATTAAAATGGGAAATAACCGTTATAAAAATAAGAAGCGACTGGGTCACGGTAATATTATCTATACAGTATTGTAACTCGGCCGTATCACGGTAATATTATCTATACAGTATTCCAACTTCATACAAACGGACGAAGCGAGAGCTATGCCTACGCGCCTCGATCTCGGCATGCGCTCGGCATGCAGACAGTCGAGACTGTGCCGCAGTCATTATTTTGTGAAATATATAAAAAAATGGAGGAAATAAATAATAGAATAGAAATAAAGAAATAATAAATCTAAACTTTATTTAAAAAACACATATAAATTGTAAAGTAGCTGCAGGTTTTTCTTCCTTTTCCTTTTCTCCACGTTGTCCATGTTTCCCAAAACAATTTTCAATTTATATTATTATTAGCTTTATATTAGAAAGCGGATTTTTATATTTAAAAATCTAATAATAAAGCATTTCGTAAGTCTCAGCTGAGGTGCAAATATTTTTCGGTCGCAAATTTATTTAACCGATTTGTTATTCAAACATAAACATGGTTTTTTAATTAAATCTACCAATCAAAAAACGACACGCATTTTTATTGAACACTTCCTATTCAATTCACAAAGTACCTATTTTATTTGTTTATATAAAAAGTATATTTACAATCATAAAACTAAATGGAAACACAAAGTAGGCAAATGTAAAAATGCTGGAGGCAGGTAACACTATCATATGTTTACGTGCCGCACTACTGTAGGCATTTATTTGAAAGATACGGCCGAGTTACAATACTGTATAGATAACATTACCGTGGCCGTATCTTTGAAATAAATGCCTACAGCAGCGCGGTACGTAAACATGCAATAGGGCTGCCTGCCTTCAGCATTACATTTGCCTACTTTGTGTTTCCATTTAGTTTTATGATTGTAAATATACTTTTTTTATATAATCAAATATAATAGGTACTTTGAAAATTCAATAGGAAGTGTTCAATAAAAATGCGTATCGTTTTTTGATTGGTAGATTTAATTAAAAAACCATGTTTATGTTTGAATAACAAATCGGTCTTATGAATTTGCGACCGAAAAATATTTGCGCCTCGGCTGAGACGTACGAATTACTTTATATTAAATTTTTAAGTATAAAAAATCCGCATTATAATATAAAGCTTAATTAAAAATTATTTTGGGAAACATGGACAAGGTGGAGAAAGAATATCTTTTACTTGGATAAAGAGGTATCTATAACCAAGTAAAAGATATTTTATAATTTATATGTTTGGTTTTAAATGAAGTTCGCATTTATTATTTCTTTATTCCTATTCTATTAGTTATTTCC